GGACATAAGAATATTAATTTAAAGTAGTAAAATTAAAAAATGCATTTAAAGCATTTTAATACAAACTTTGTTTTAAGGAGTTGCTTAATTCTAGTTAAGCTTACTATTGTTATTTTAATAATCGGTAATGTCCTCTGAGATATGTCATGTTACATATTACTAATTATTTAATTTCCTCATGAAAATTTGAGCTACCAAACATACGATTACCGACATACCATTTTCTTATCCTCAAAAGTACTCGTTTTGTTTACCACAATTCAGTTTGCAATGACACGTTCAAGTGCATCTCTGTCATAGAGAAAAACAACACAATATAAGATGGCAGGCCGGTCAGGTGGTACATTGCGAAAAAAGATGCGGTCCCATTGCCTGGCCGTCACCCTATGCCTGGCCGTCACCCTATGCCTGGCCGTCACCCTATGCCTGGCCGTCACCCTATGCCTGGCCGTCACCCTATGCCTGGACTTACTTGCCCGTCGGTGTTCACTTCGGGGCCGACCGTTAAAGACATCGTCGGGAATCGCAGCATCCTTTGTAGACGCAGGGAATACAATTTGTGGTCTTGGGAAATTAGGTATAAGTTTTATGCCGAGTGTAGTCAACGTCCCGACTCCTCTTACAAATACCGACTCTTCTTATAAATCCTGACTCTTCTCACAAATCCCGACTCTTCTCTTAAATCCCGACTCTTCTTAAAAATCCAGATTCGTCTTACGAATCTAGACTCTTCTTACAAATCCCGACTCTTCGTATAAATTTAGTTCTTCATCGAAATTCTTGTTAGGCTTAGAGATATGAAATCTAAAAAAAATGGTACAATTTGTGCATCAAGATTTTCAGCAACACGCTCAATATGACTTTAGATAAATTTTCTCTGACACAGAATTATCTACCGTTTCAATGAAATTACCAGTGCACCCTGTCCAAGAAAACTCAAGGTGTTCCTGTTTTCTGTAACCGTAGATAAAAAAAAAGTTGGCCTGATAAGATACTAATCACTACATGAAAGCTATCCTTGAGACTTTAAAAGAGACCAACTCACTAATGAACCATGTCAAGAAATACCTGATCACAGGCTGGATTAACTGCTCTGAAGTGTAATTCAACCAGGAGATGGCGCGCTCTTCAATCGTCCATTCTCCTCCCAGGTGGAACGGATCGGACATCGCGAAGAGTTTAGCCGAGGTTAACCTCGTCTCGCATTCGTCAAAGAAGGCGATGAACTATATCACGCACGTCTAAGAAGTTCGAGGTTAGAAGCAATTTATTTATTTTAACGACACTTTTGTTTTCTTTTTTTTTTTGTGGTCTTTTTTTTTTTTTTTTTTTTTTTTTTGTATTTAAAAAAAAAAAAAAGAAAGAATTGGGGGGGGGGGGGGGGGGCGTAACTCGTGAAACATAGCAGGGTTACTGAACTTGAATGTGTCAAACACGTCCACTTCATTGTTTTTCTTCTCTTCACCTTTTTTTTTTCGGTTGTTTTGTGAGGGACTTGTGCCCCCACTTGCTGTAATATCTGATTTTATCACATTTGTGTCAATATCTGAGTGCATCGCCCTTGTGGTAATACCTGAGTGTATCACCTCTGCGATATTACCTGCGTGTATTGCCCTTGCGTAAATACCTGAGTGTCGAATGGGTAGTAGGTCAACTCAAAGATGCAAGAAGTTTTCAGAAACATTGGTGCCATGAAGATAAAGGTGCCATCATTGATCAGCCTAACAATCGGCAAGGTATATTGGGGGACTAGACTGTCCCCTTCAGCGGCGTTCATCACCATCAGGTTGGGGGCCAAAGCCTGTAACGGGGGAGCAAAATGAACAGAGCGTCTCAAAAAGTAACTCCAGAGTCCTGAAGATCTCAGAACATCTGTGTATGATAAGAGAACCCTAACCATCCAATGAGTAACAAGATGAGAAACCCCTAACCATCCAATGATTAACAAGATGAGAGAGCCCTAACCATCCAATGATTAACAAGATGAGAGAGCCCTAACCATGCAATGAGTAACAAGATGAGAGAGGTCTAAACTAATGGCGATGACAAAATATTTACAGATTTTGATTCCCTGATAAAAAATCAAGCGATTGGTGAAATTAAATAAATTGTAAATAAATATATACATTTTTAAAAAAAAAACGTAGTTTTTAATGGCATCTACTTGTTTTAAATTCAATGCGCGTGAATGAAACGACTCAATGAAAGATCTTACTCCTCGTAATTCAAGCTCACAGTCGATACCCCATAGTAATCGGAGACATTCCAGGCAAGGTCCCTGTCACGCCATGACACCTGCAGGTAGCTCACTGTGGTAATCGATTGCAAAATTTCATCCACTCCAAATACCTGAAGGAGAATTTTTTTAATGACATCAGAACATGCTAGTCAAGTCGTCAATTCTATCTTTTTTTTCTTTTTTTTTTTTTTGAAATTAAAATACACAAGTTCTAGTTAATATAGATCTGTATAGAGCTATATTTAAACCGAGTTTTTCAGCGTAGACGAATTTTAGAGACCTATGCAAGGGGCGTTCTTTTGGGTCATTCTTCTTCTTCTTCTATATCTTAAGGGCCCACGATCAATTTATTGATCATTTTGGCTCCTATGCATGTAGATGGGATTTGCAATGTTTCTGTTACTGGTGGTGATGAGGAAATTATGCACTAGGGGTTTGAAGGCTTGAGGCAATAGACACAAATGTGTCTAGTGTTGTCGCCTCAACTGTTCCTTTTGAAAGATGGTTCCAGTCCCTGATTGTCTTGGGCAGGAATGAGCAGCTCCTATACTGGCTTCTTGCTGGTATGAGCCTGAATTGCCTGTCATGGCCTCGTCGCTGTCTATGGGGGAGAGGGACGAGTTTCTGTTTAATACTGGAACAGTGGACCAGCCCATTATTTATCTTGTACATCATCGAGAGCCTGGATTGTCGTCGTCGTTTCTCCAATGGTGACCAGCCTAGTGTTTCTTCCTATTGCGGGAAGTCACTTCGTGCCTTCCGATGATTCAAGTTTCCTCGGCTCCTCGCGCCCCCCCCCCACGTATTTGCATCGTCCTGGGGAATAAGCTTGATGCCATTCTAAAGACGTGAGCACGGAGCCATCTCTACCAGACAGCTGGCAGATTCTCTATACAATAGTTTTCATATGAGCCATCTTGTTATAGATTGATACTTCTGTAAAAAGACATCTCTTTAAGAGTTAGATGGAGAGGTTTGCTGTTATTTTCTTTTAGCGTCATAAATATGCTAAAAATAAAGTATGGTTATAGAAGACTTTTTCTTTTTTTGGATTGATGTCTTATGCTTTTAAATCTACTTAGGTAAAATAATATTTTTAAATGAAAGTGTACCTAGTTTGATGACGTGACCATCGATTTATAACGAAAATATTGTATCAAATTTCTGGCTAGCCTCTGTTATTTAAATGAACCCTTAAAGTCTTTTATTCCAATTTTTTAAAGAATAAAACTCCCTTAAGCTATCATCATCAGTGACGCTATCCTGTAGGACAATGGCCACCACATTCTTCCTTTCGGGTCGATCCATGGCTATCCGTCTCCAGCCATGGAGCCCAGATGATGTAAGTCTTCCTCTAAATCGTCAATCCATCTTAGTATTGGTCGACCAGTGAGCCGTCTGCCCCCGGGTTCCCAAGGTATATCACTTTCGCAGATGTAAGATCAGGGATCCTCTCAAGGTGTCCTGTCCAACGCAGTCTGCATTTTTTTTTAAAAATTGCTTCGACCATGGGTTGTGCCTCGAACACATGATAAATATCTTGGATTGTGCCAATTTTTCCATCCATTATTGTCTTCAACTAGAGTAAAAATGATACTCCGGCAGAGCCCTACCTTAAACTAAAAAAGAAAGAGGTAAAATGGCGATAAACTTGTAATTATAGATCTTAATTTTAATTTTGAGAACTTGAAAACAGTTATAATGAATGAGTAAAATATTTACATGTGCCTGCTCGACTTCTTGCACAATTGTTAGATATTTGTTAACTTTACATTATTGCTATGCTTCATAAGCGGACTTATACAACAATATGTGTACATATCTTGAGGGGCCTTATAACAATATATGTAAATATATTGAGGGGACTTCGACACAATATGGCTACATATGTTTAGGGGACTTTGACAAAATATGAGTACATATGTTTTAAAGGAATTCATTGTGGACAAATTACAGAAGAACTTTTTTCAACAACCCAATGGGCTGTGCTCGTTATATATGAAGTTGGTGAGGTTGAGAGCCTCACTTTAAGTACTAACATCTACTAAGCACATCTACATATTCCCGGTACATTTTCCTTAAACTATGTGCCATTGAACAGCATAAGTTATGTCTTCACCATCACCCGTTGCTTCCTTGCTGAAGTGATGTATATTTATAGATTAAACGTGGTAGACAAATATCTACATGCAAAAAAATTATTCGCTGGATCCTAAATCAAATAATTTTTGTTTAGTAAACGAAGAATAAATGACATGTTGTGTTCGAAAAATACGTCATTTTGTGACAGGCCAAAAGGAAGTTGCTCTGATACCATCCAAATAAATTCTTGTAATTCCAAGACAAACATGATGCAATTTCCTTCCGACGAAAATGAACCGCGCTGTCAGTATAGCGAGATGAAGATCTCACTTCATCGACATAAAATAAATGTGCCACTCATATTCAAATATTTGATAACTGATTTTCAAAACAATAAAACAGAGAATCCAATTAGATTTCCCTTGGCATGGTTAAAAATGTGATGGTTTTGTCCTTGGTTGTCCTACTGAATTGTTCTAGGTGCCAATTTTGATATGTGTTCGTTTTTAACTAGAGCCATTATCACTTGGAAATTATGTAACGTTTTTTTTCCTACCGGATTGTAAATATGAAACAGTTAAGAAAATTGTAGCTCCTTGAGGGTTTTATAATAATAAGTAGTGCCACGGGAATTATTCCTGTGTGCTGTGCTCCATTGATCAACGTCAATAATTTTGTTTACCTCAATTTAATATTTCTTGATATCAACCATCATAACGGAACAGTTTCCGCTATCGTGGCGTTGGCACGTGTGCATCGTTTTTTTATTTAAATCAATATTTCTTTAAACACCCAAGGTGCGATTAAGACTAAAAAAATTGCTTCAAAGCCTAAATAATTTCGCTCGTTTCCCGAGTCAACAAAGAGCTACGGGTTTAGATTACTCTTTCATTTGTATATATAGCTCAATTATTATTTCAAGACGGGGGCGATAGTGCGTTGTATTACACACAAAATAATTTTGTGTTAAATGTTACAAGTTCAATCCAGTTCTATCCTGTGAGTTCAATCCAGTTCTATCCTGTGAGTTCAATCCAGTTCTATCCTGTGAGTTCAATCCAGTGCTATCCTGTGAGTTCAACCCAGCGCTATCCTGTGAGTTCAACCCAGCGCTATCCTGTGAGTTCAATACAGCGCTATCCTGTGACGTTCATTTATAACTGAACAAATGGTTTGTGGGGCGTTCGAAGGTTTCGTCTTACCCAAGGAAGAAATGATATCATCAACTTAAGTTGCTGTCCACAGTTCTTTATTGGAGTTGTTCGTAGGCAACTCTATCTTTAAAGAGACGAAAGCTTCAACAACAAAAAAAAAAAATGAATTTAAAAAAAAAATATATTACTTTAATGTTTTAAAGATGTTAGATATGTTTAAATTAGCGTGTTAAGGATGAATTCCAACGATACAATTTTCTCAAACACTACGCATTATAATTCTGCAGGGATTGATAGAATCGCTTTATTCAGTTTGATAGTCTTACACAGCCTCCGCCTATGTGCGGCGTTTCTCGGAGCTGTGGGTAACCTCATCAACGTTAGAACATTCGTTGCCATGGGAATCTGTGACGGGGTGAACGTTGGTTTCACGTGGCTGGCGGCGTCTGACCTCGCGTACGTCGTCTTTTCCCTTGTCGATTCGTTCGCGATGATCTTCCGGGCGACGGAGGGTCTAAGCGCGTACAGTGTTTGGTTCCCCGTGGAGCCCGGGGCCGTCCATCTGTACGCGATCAACGTCGGCAACGGCTTGTACAGCCTTTCGGTGATGACGACGGATCTGGTCACCATCATCCGATGTCTGAGCGTCGTGAGGCCTTTACAGTTCAGGAAAATTCCGTCGTGGCGCAAAATGGTAATGACCTTGTCCGCCATGACAACTTCTTCGCTGGTCTCTGTAATTGCGTTATTCATTTACATGGATATTGTTCCGAAATTTGATGTGAACGTCAAGGCAATCCGACTCGTTCTCTGGATGTCGCCGAAACGATTTGAAGTAAGATCTTACATCTTTGGCGTCAGGGACGCTTTCTTACCGTTTTCCTCACAAATCATCCTGGTCGTCTGCTCCATCATCATGGCTGACGCGCTGCGCAAAGCCTCCAAATTTCGCCAGAACCACTCGACATCTCCAAACGTCAGAACAGCGTCAGCGACATCTCTCGGTGAAGCGGGGTGGACAAAGCGCAAACCGGAGCACGGCCCTGGGTCAACATCAACGCTTGGCGGGCAAGAGCTTCAAGTCGTCCGGCAGATGCTGCTGATCTCTTCGGTGGCGCTCTTGTGCAACTTGCCAAAGGTGTCACTGGGCATCTGCGGCATTGTCATTCCGGACTTCACCACGAGTCTCGTCTACTACAACGTGTACAACGTTCTGCTTGGCATCAGAGAACTGTTTCAAACTCTCAACGCCAGCTTACATTTCCTCATTTACTGGAGCAGCAATTCCAAATTCAGGAAACACTGCATGACATCCGAAGTGATTCAATGAAATGGAAACAACGTGTGACATCCTAGTGAGTCGATTTAATGGAAACAACGTGTGACATCCTAGTGAGTTGATTTAATGCAAAAAACGTGTGACATCCTAGTGAGTCGATTTAATGGAGACCACGTGTGACATCCTAGTGAGTTGATTTAATGGAAACAACGTGTGACATCCTAGTGAGTTGATTTAATGGAAACAACGTGTGGCATCGTAATGAGTCGATTTAATGGAAACAAGGTGTGACATTCTAGTGAGTCGATTTAATGGAAACAACGTGTGAGATCCTAGTGAGTCGATTTAATGGAAACAACGGGTGACATCCTAGTGAGTTGATTTAATGGAAACAACGTGTGACATCCTAGTGAGTTGATTTAATGGAAACAACGTGTGGCATCGTAATGAGTCGATTTAATGGAAACAAGGTGTGACATTCTAGTGAGTCGATTTAATGGAAACAACATGTGAGATCCTAGTGAGTCGATTTAATGGAAACAACGGGTGACATCCTAGTGAGTTGATTTAATGGAAACAACGTGTGACATCCTAGTGAGTTGATTTAATGGAAACAACGTGTGGCATCGTAATGAGTCGATTTAATGGAAACAAGGTGTGACATTCTAGTGAGTCGATTTAATGGAAACAACGTGTGAGATCCTAGTGAGTCGATTTAATGGAAACAACGGGTGACATCCTAGTGAGTTGATTTAATGGAAACAACGTGTGACATCCTAGTGAGTCGATTTAATGGAGACCACGTGTGACATCCTAGTGAGTTGATTTAATGGAAACAACGTGTGACATCCTAGTGAGTTGATTTAATGGAAACAACGTGTGGCATCGTAATGAGTCGATTTAATGGAAACAAGGTGTGACATTCTAGTGAGTCGATTTAATAGAAACAACGTGTGAGATCCTAGTGAGTCGATTTAATGGAAACAACGTGTGACATCCTAGTGAGTTGATTTAATGGAAACAACGTGTGACATCCTAGTGAGTCGATTTAATGTAAACCACGTGTGACATCCTAGTGAGTCGATTTAATGGAAACAACGTGTGACATCCTAGTGAGTCGATTTAATGGAAACAACGTGTGACATCCTAGTGAGTCGATTTAATGTAAACCACGTGTGACATCCTAGTGAGTCGATTTAATGGAAACAACATGTGAGATCCTAGTGAGTCGATTTAATGGAAACAACGTGTGACATCCTAGTGAGTTGATTTAATGGAAACAACGTGTGACATCCTAGTGAGTCGATGTAATGTAAACCACGTGTGACATCCTAGTGAATCGATTTAATGGAAACAACGTGTGACATCCTAGTGAGTCGATTTAATGGAAACAACGTGTGACATCTTAGTGAGTCGACTTAATGGAAACCACGTGTGACATCCTAGTGAGTCGATTTAATGGAAACAACGTGTGACATCCTAGTGAGTCGATTTAATGGAAACAACGTGTGACATCCTAGTGAGTCGATTTAATGGAAACAACGGGTGACATCCTAGTGAGTCGATTTAATGGAAACAACGTGGGAGGGTTGGGGGAGGATTGCAAGAGTTGGAGAAATTAGATAATAGGGATATTTTGTCAAATGAAATATGGCGTTTTAATACTTTGTGTCCACGATTGTAAATAGCAATATTTAAAAATACGTTAAAAAAACACCGTTTTTTTCCTCCAAAAATTGTACTAAGACGTATAAAATAAATGTCCCCTAAAACATCCGAGTTGTTATGTTCATATGATTTTTATAGCGGTTTTTTTTTTTTTTGGGGGGGGGGGTTGGAGTGTGTGACCATGCCCTAAACTTTCTTTGTTTCAGCTCAATTCGAGATCAGCNGGAGTGTGTGACCATGCACTAAACGTTCTTTGTTTCAGCTCAATTCGAGATCAGCAAATGGATCAAAACTGATATTCCCAAACTTGACCGTAAACAAAGTCACAGAGCAACACAAGAAATGCAATAAGACTTCATGTTTTGATGGGCCAATCGAGCTTTTGAGTCATTTGATTGCAACACCACAGAAGTTTGCTGGACATTTATTTTTGACTTTTCAGTATATATAATATTTTTGAAAAACGTGTTGTTTTTTAAAGTATGTTTATATACTTTTTTATTACTGTTTTGTCAACGTGTGCATTGTTTAAGCTCACTTGGAGATCAGGAGGTGGGTCAAGATTTGACCCGTAGAGTTCCCGCAAGGGCCATTGGAGGTCACTGGAGACCTATTGATGATGGAGAGTTGTATTGTCATCGGGGGGTGGGTAAGGGTACAAAGTTTCATTTCACTTGGAGATCAGGAAGTGAGTCAAAATTGAGGCTATATGATTTGAACACCCACAAACAAACAAACGGACAGAAGAATCTAAGAAAAGGCGTATAATGATATATTCCAGAGGAATGAAATGGTTTTTGAAAATATTAAAAAAAAAACACACACAATCATTTTTATATTAAATTTGTTAATTTTCAGTAGATTTATTTATTAAGAAACGAAATGGAGATTTTAAATAAATTACAAGACAAGTTTCAAATTGACTAAATGAATTCAAAAATACTGGCCTTGTATGTTATGCGTGTTATTTCAGCAAGAACTCACCACCCACCAAAGCCACCAGACAGAACTAGGACATATATGTATAACAATGATTCCCGAGTGGATATTTTCCGCAACACGCTCTCCTTGGGCAGTGTGATGCACAATCATTCTCTGCTCCGCCGTCGTGCTCCCACAAATGTACACAAAAGAACACATTCGTTACCCACTTCTCATTGAAACTGTCAAGACATGCTTAAAAGAAAGGCAAATGAATGTCAATACAACTAAGCATTGGTGGAATTACGGAGTGCAATCTGGAATTATTGTTATTATTGTGATTATGCACATCTTCCCGTATTTTTTACGCGCAACTTGTTTTTTTACCCCAGACTGTATAATAATTAATTGTGTTGCGCACTGTTCAATGGCGCGAAAAGTAACATCCCCAAAATGTTCATCAAATGTCGTGCACTTTGTTTTCAATATGCGTGAAAGATAAACATTTATAATATATATACATATATATATATATAAATACTCTTTTACTGAACCAAACAGCGTGGAAATTTGAATTGGGATTCTTAAAAACATGGTTGTTATTTTTAGTTTATTTTACGGAAATCGAATGAGTTGTTATATTTTAAAAATGTATTTTAAAGAATAATTATAGAATAATTTTGAGCAGTTTATCTGCATGTGAGAGTTATGATATGGTATTTAAAAGTAGACTGACATTCGGGTGTCACTTTGTTTCTTTACGTAGAGAGGGGGCATTTTGGCTAACTACCTAGATATTTACGTTTAAGGGAGGGGGAAAAGGCTTGATGCACACCAGATGGCAGAAGCCCTAGCTACGCAACTGTTGATATGAAATAAGATACAAATTTTTAGAGGCAGTGTGGGGGGGGGGGTTGTCCACTGCCAAGTGCCTCGAGGGTCTTAAACCGGCAACGCCGTCCTTAGACATAAGCGTCATTTAATTAAACCCGTTTTGTGAGCTTCCAATAGCTGCACCCCAGCACGGTGGAGGTCAGGCCGGGGTTAAGGTCGGTGTTTTCGGTGATGACGTCACAGCTGCTCTGACCGAGCCACACGTTGACCCCTAGACAGTTCGGGTAGAAGACGCAGAGTGAGCAGCATCCGTTGGACGAATAGGTCTTCGGAAAGGTCACCTTGTGGCCGCCAGTGTAGCACACGTTTCCTTGCAGCTCCAGCAATCCGCTCGTAGACACTGAAAGGTAACACACACAGAGGATTGGAGGGTTTTTTTCGGACTTCAGAGAATGTAATTCAAACTTGAGTCTTCTTTTTTTCATTATTATTTTTTTTTTATCCCAAATGTTTCAGCTGATAAAATTTCTCAGTTACAAGTCAAGTCAAACGTGAACCCAAATGTTTTGGTCAGGGAAGAGAATTAGTTTAACCGTCTCTGTCATTCTTGTTTTACACTGGAATCAGGAGCAGGATTCAAACTCGAAATTCAGTGGATTAACTCATCATGTCATAAGTGAACGACTTTGAAGTAGTAATTGGAGTCGAGACCCATATTTTCATAGCAAGATTACCACTCAAGAAGTTATCACACTTCTAACAGGTAAAACTGGAGTCATGAATGTTGTTGAGCTTGCAAAAAAATATCTTTTAGCATCGGACTTCCTATTGTCCGTTTGAGTGTAGCGTTTAATACGTGAAGTGAAGTGTATAAGATCCTGACAATTATTTTACCGCAACATGGAGATTTATTTTTATATCGTAAAATGTGACGCATTGTAAATAAACATAAAGTGGTAGAGTCCATTGGAATTTCCTCATGGTTTCAGTAACTATCGTAATAGTTATCAGAGAGCACCCAGTCACTGCTGCAAAGCTGGGTGCCTATATACAGTTACAAATGATAAGCAACTAAAGAAATAGTGTAGTCAACACATGTACCATCAGAAGACGGTACATAAACTATCTTGGCTTTATCAGCTATGGTCAACACTGGCAGCTTTAGACAATGGTACAGCAGTCAAGAACTTAAAGTTAGCAGCTATGATCAGTAATGATAGCTACAGATGATGGTATAACATCCAAGAACGTAAGGTTAGCAGCTATTATCAGTAATGATAGCTACAGATGATGGTATAACATCCAAGAACGTAAAGGTATAGGGGCTTAACCTTTCATACTTACTCACTGATCCGAACTCTGGGCATACGCCAAGCATAGAGGGCAATGAAGATGACACTGAACTTGTTCTGTTAAAGTATGTCGAATCAATTGGTGTTGTAGTATCACCGATATTCACAGTGCTGTAACTGGATACGTACTGTAGGGTGTAAGATAAAAACAATGCAATGTATTATCTTATCATACATGGCAAGTAATGTAATGTTAATATATTATAAGTCGGTCTTGTATTTAACATTTGACAGGCTCTGTCAATTTAAAAAATAAAATCTATAATACTAATTCCT